AGTATAGGTTATAACAGACCCTATTAGCGCTTCTAGGAGATATAAGCACTATAATAATAGCAGTTCTAGATATACTATGTAATATCTCCTAATATTCTATCCTAATAATAGTTGCGGCGTAGTATTTAAAATATTATATTCTTTCCTAGATATCCTACTAAACCTAATTTATATGCTTGCTATATAATAGTAGTTATAAGGGGTTCCTATATTAGTAACTAAATAACGCCTCTCTAAAGCAAAGTGCTGTATACACTAATTATATAGTCCCTAATCTATTACTTTATGTTAGCTAGAACTAGGAAAGACCTAGCGCCTTTCTAAACTGCATTAAGACGTACTTAGTATATCTTATCTTCTAATACTACTTTATCCTATAGTGTCTACATGTGCAGGTTAGTAAAAAGGCTAGCGCCCTTTAGTAACTTAGACGCCTCCTCTGCTTCTAACACTATAACCTAAATTAATTTAGGGCGTATTACTAACTATAGTGTTGCTTTAGAGGAGTTTAAATCTTGTGGTTACCTACTTAAGGTATTAGGTTGTCCTATAAGATAGCTAGGTCTGTACTATAGGATATATTAATATTTTAAAAGTTCCTCTGCCTAGTAGCACTATTACTTGCTTAAGCTTTAAAGGCTAGTAAAGTACTCTAGGTTTTTATAATCTATAAATATTATAAATAGTTTGTAAATACTCTATAACTCTGCTAACTAGCTTTTAAGACACTTAATAATAGCTAGCAATTCCTTATTATATATAGTGTAGTTTTATCTTTCTAGTGTTAGAGCTATAGAGTAGTAAGTAACTAGGCGCTAGACGCCCCTAACCTTTTATAACAAGCAACCCCTAAGAGCGTATCCTAAATAGTCTGCTTCTAATAATATTTCTTTAGCTAGGTCTTATTATATTAGTACTAGTCTAGATATAAATGCCTTTTTTAGTGTATTAAATGCACTCTATTCTTCCTCTCCCTATTAGAATAGGGTATTCTTCCTAGTTAGTTAGTTTAAAGGCGCTACTACTTTAGAAAACTTCGCAATAAAATTATAGTAGAAGTTAGTAAAACCTAGAAAACTCCTTACCTCTCTTATATTCCTAGGGGATTCCTATTCCTATACTACCCTAAGCTTTTTAGGGTTAGGTCTAAGTAATTTGCCCGCCTTAATAATATAGCCTAGGTAGCGTACCTCCTTAATACTAAAAGCACATTTCTCTAAGTCTAGGTGTAGTCCTACTTCTTTTAATAGCATAAGTACACACTTTACTTTTTCTATATAGTTAAACTAGTCTCCTCCTAAATAAATTAGGATATTATTAAGGTAGGCTATTACATACAATCTAAGTAACTCTATAAGCGTGGTATTAATATATTATTAGAAAGTAGATAGCGCCCTACTAAGACTAAATAGATATACTAACTATTTATATAACCTAAACTAGGTGCAGAAAGCTATTAAGGACTTATAACCTTCTACTATTCTAACTTTATAAAAGGCAGCGTAAATATCTACTTTTATAAACTAATTTACACTAGATAGTGTGCGCAAAGTTTCCTTAATAAGTAGTAGTAGGTATTAGTCTAATATTATTATGCTATTAAGCATCTAGTAATCTATATAAAGGCGCTAACTGCCTAATAGCTTCTTTACTAGTAATACTAGAGCTCTAGCTATAGAAGAGCTTGCTTAGATCTAGCCCTTGTCTATTAATCTAGTAAGTTGTGTTCTTAGTTCTAGTAATTAATTACGCGATATAGGGTATAGGGGAGCCTATAGGGGGTTAGGCTAGGTTCTATCTAGGAGAGTTATTAACTAAATATAGTAATCTATACTACCTTAATAAGGCAGTAAACTACTTGCTAACTCTTTGTTAAATAGGTCCTTAAACTCTCGCAGTTCTAGTAGCAACTTTATCTTTCTAGTTTTATACTTAGGTTTATAGGGAACTATATTACTAGCAATATAAACAGTGTGTATATTAATAGGACCTCCCTTATTAATACTTCCTAGATATTTTATTAGGCGCAAGTTATATATTACTTATAAAATATCTAGTATATTTATTGCAAAAATTTATACCTATATATCTTCCTATTAGGATCCTTAATTTAGTAACCCCACTATAACTAAACCTAAGATAGTAGAGATATAGGTAGGATATAAGTGTCTCCTAAGCTCTTGTACTACTATATTTCCTACCTTCCTAATTATTAATTTGCCTTATAGAATATCTATAACAACGCCTTCCCTGTATAGCTATAGTCTACCTAGTATTAGTTAATAGGAGAGACTAGGTACTATATAAGCTAAAAGCTAAGACCGCTAACTATCTAAATTATAGTCTAATACTACTAACTGTAAAATTCTTATGCTCTTAGTAATTCCCTAGGTATATTGCAAAGGTCGCAGGGGAATATTAATAAAGTTCCTACTAATCTATCTTGCTAACTTTTCCTTAACTGTACTAAAATACTAGCACCCTAAATTAACTATTACTTGCACGTTCTCTACTCTACCTAGGAGGAGGGGAATAAAGAAAGGAGGATTATTTAACCTAGCCTTAATATCTAGGGGACACTTAATAGCTTCTACTATTAATAATTCCTCTGTTATAGTATCCTCCTTATACCCCTAACTTAGCCTAAGGTTAGGGGCAGCTAGTTTCCTAAATTAGGGCCGCTTGCTAATACTGCAACTATCTTAACACCTACTAGTTGCAGCAATAGGGTATTAGGGCATGTACGTATAAAATAACTGCCCTATCTATACTAGGTATAGACTTTTGCTAATTTCTGTGTATTAAATAGGTCCTATAGGATCTAGTTAGGACGTAATATTAGTAGTTTAGTAGGTGCACTTAATAAGGCTACTACTTCTACTATATTTATATTGCTATCCTAATCTAAGTTAGACTTCTACTAGGGTTCCTTAGACTTACTAGCCTAAAGAAAACCTAGTTCTAGAGAGGCTATTTTAATATCTACTATAATTATCTTATATTCCTCTATAGCTGCGTTATAGTTTATTCTAGAGATTCCCCTATTAAGGGAAACTAAGCGTATATAACTATTAAGAGATTACTAAAGTTATAAAAGCTTCTATTTATTATCCTAGTATAAACCTCCTAACTATATAAGGAGCTATACAAAATTTATAAAGAATTCTATAAAAGGCTAATTTTAGCCCTAATATAAGTGTTCTAACATAACTTAGGCGCGCTCCTGCCTATAATAGTTACTATAGTAGAACGCTAGGTAGTTAAGAAACCTGCTTATATCCTAACACTTATATGTACTATCCTTAAAGTATAGTACTATAGCGCGCTAGACTATAGGTAATAACTAGGACTAAATATATATAAACCTTACCTCCTTATCCCTAATAAAGACCTTATCTACACGTAGTTTAAACTCTATAGTTATTTACTAGGAGGAGAAGTTTGCCTTAGTGCTATTATATAGCAAGCTAACTAGGAAAGGTTTATAGTATAAGGTAGGAGCAGGTAGAGGTAGCATGTCCTTAAACCTAGCAGGCTTAGAGGAGGGTTAGGATAGAATCTAATTGCGTATTTCCTTATTCTATTAATATAGTATAGCTATTATAGCAGAGTCTTAAGCCTGTTATTCTATTAATCTATAGACCTGCTATATTAGCCTTTCTACTATATTAGGTTGCACCTAGTTATTCTAAATATCTAGCGCGTCTATCTCTTATTACTATTATAGTATAATTAGAAGAAGATACTAAAATATTATAGACTAGCCTTAAGGGAGAATATAATAAGCGTTAATAATAGTATTTAGTATCTTAAAGGAGAGATAAGCCCTCCACGCCTTTTTATAGGTGTCTAGTGTGTTTACTTAGTAGTAGTGTTAGACTTAGTCTATCTTGTGTTAGACTAAGGCTTAGGTATAAGCCTAAGCCCTTCACACTAAGCTATAGCTACGCGGTTTATAGTAGCAATAGTAATCTTACTCTACTTTGTCCTTAGGTCTCCCTTCCTCCTACTTACTACTTTCCCCTTCTTCTAGCCTATAGTAGTAAGCAACTTAAACCCTAGTTAGCCTAGGAGTTTATAGGAGTTTATAGGAATTTATAGGAGTTTATAAGAGTTCCTAGGAGTTTATAGGAGTTTATAGGAGTTCCTAGGAGTTTATAAGAGTTTATAAGAGTTTATAGGAGTTTATAGGAGTTCCTAGGAGTTTATAGGAGTTTATAAGAGTTTATAGGAGTTTATTAATAGCCTAGTAATAGTAATATATCTAACTATAATAAGCTATAGTTAGATAAGGAGTTTGTAAGTAACCCTAAAGTTCTTATATCTTTTATAGGGCTAACTACTATAATACTAATTATAGTAGGTCTAGCTAGTATAATTATATCTAGCGCTAACTAATAATAACTAAATATCTACTACTATAACACGCTATTAGGCTTAAACTTCTAGAGGTGTATCTTAAAGCGTGTAGGAAATAGCTCTAATAGTTACTAGGCTTATAGAGGACGTGGTAGTAGTGTAGTAGGTAGGTTATTAATAGCTATAAAACTTTTAGACTTAGGACTTTAAATTACACGTATAGGTGCTATAGTTTTCTACGCCTACTTTGCGTGTGTTAGATAAAATTTATACTATTAGATTTAGAATCTTACCTACTTTAAAATAAAAACTTTTAGTAATAATAGTAGTACTATAGTTAATAATATTAATAAAAATATATAAAGAGTAAGGTTTATAAAATTAGAGTACTACTAAAATATGTCCTATTTTTCCTTAGACACTCTACTAATGCTTTACACATGATTATATAAGCAGGATCTTATTGGCTTAGGAGTTCTTAGTTTGACGCTAGCCTTTAGTGCGAAGCTAAGCGGAGCGTCGGATTTTGAGATAAACATGTGACAGTGACATAGCGATGGGAAGAACATGAGATGATTTGACGTGGTTCAAGATGGAACGAAAGGGGAAATTTCTCGTTGTAGAGTGAAGTGTCAAGAATTCTAATTGGAATTGTGTAAATTCCATTGTGCAGTGAATGTGGCGGGCCATGTGAGCGTCGTCGTCTTCGTCTTGGGGCTGAATTTCAGTTGGACAGGGATTAAGCCACGGCTGGCGTCATGATTGATTGTGTGCATGGCATGAGACCGCGAACGAGCACTTTTAGGTGTGCAAGCATGGCCGAAGGACGAAGGGCCTCGATGCATGTCGAAGCTGTTGCTTTGTAGTCATCAGCTATGGCTGGCAAACTGCTTGGGACGTATCGGTAGACTTGGATCTCTCTGGCTCTACTCTGCTTTGACACGTAGGAATTGTAACCATGTATACCGGTATCCCATGCACCATTGGGGCAGAGCACCTTGGTCAGTACCATACCGGTAACTTAGGTAGTGTAGTGCATCCACATCACATCCACTACTTGTACTTATCCTCGAGCCAGCAGCAACCTTTCGTGCGCCGAGAGCTCCACACCCTTTTCCTCTGGACCTCCCCTCCCAACAGCATCCGTCAGGCACCAAAGTAGGCTTCGATGTGAGGCAAAGGGCCGCCCCGTCTGCCAGTCTCCACCACCAAGCCCGACCATAGTCGTCGTTGCATTCGCATAAATCATCGCACGTCTGAGCCGCCCACCCTCGCCGGCCCCCTCTGCCCGCCTGAGATGATGCCTGGGCCAAACCATCCGTTCGCATCGCCCAACGCTATACCGCCCCGCACCAGCTCCACCGGCATCCTCAACGCGAACACGATCCAGCACCGCACCAGTGTCCTCCGCCCACTGAGCGAGATTGACTGGCTGGGTCAGAGCAAGAAAAGCAAGACGAGCCACTCGGCAGACCCGTTGAATGCGCCCTTGCACGAGCCACCAGAGCCATCGACACACAGTCGCTCGCAGACAATGTCATCTGGCCTGGAGATGGACAACCAAGTACTCATGGACAAGTCCAGCGAGAAGACGTCCTCGCAAGGCAACAGTCTGCTGGAACCAAGCACGTCATACCCAACACCCCTCTCCCCGCCCGCAGATCACATCAAAGACGTAGGCGAGGACCTAATCTATGGCAACGGCGTTGCATGGACGCAGGAGAAGGAGCGCATCCTGCTTGGCCCGTACGACTATCTCTACGGACACCCAGGCAAGGACATACGCAGCCAATGCATCGCAGCCTTCAACCTATGGCTGCATGTCCCTGCAGAGCGGTTGGAAATCATCACACGCGTCGTGGGCATGCTACATACCGCCAGCTTGCTGTACGTCATCTTCTCTTCCCGCCTCGCAACCCCACTCACAATTACACATTCACATCGGGCGAGGGCGGTAACCTACTTTCCGCCTTGAGGACCGCCGAGCTGACCACTGGTATACAGCGTCGACGATGTCGAAGACTCATCACTATTGCGCCGCGGAATACCAGTCGCGCACTCCATCTTTGGAATCCCGCAGACCATCAACTCGGCAAACTACGTCTACTTCAAGGCATTGCAACATTTGCTGCTCATGCAGAATCCCAAGCTGGTTGACATCTTCACCGAGGAGCTCTTGAATCTTCACCGTGGGCAGGGCATGGATCTATACTGGCGGGATAGCTTGACCTGTCCCAGCGAAGCCGACTATCTCGAGATGGTGGGGAACAAGACCGGGGGACTCTTCAGGTTGGCAATCAAGCTGATGCAGGCTGAGAGTGCAGTGGATGTGTGCGTATTCGTTACTTCCCTTGCATCATCTATCCTCGATGCGAAGGTCGAGGCGCCTACTGACCTCCATCAGCGACTGCACACCCCTTGTATCTACCATAGGCCTCCTTTTCCAGATCCTCGATGACCACCTCAATCTCTCACCAACATCCGGCTACACCAACCTCAAAGGCCTCTGTGAAGACCTCACCGAAGGGAAATTCTCCTTCCCTGTCATCCACGCCATCCGCGCCGACCCTTCCAACCAAGTCCTAACCAGCATACTGAAGCAAAAGACGACTGATGAAGAAGTCAAGCGTTACGCGCTGAAATACATGGAAAGTAAGGGCAGTTTCGATTACAGCAAACGCGTGCTCGAGGAACTGCGAGCCAAGGTAGAAGAGCACGTGAGAGTTGTGGAAGAAAGGCTGGGAGAACCGGGCAGAGAGGGAGCCGAGGCGCTGAGAGTCCTGCTGGGGAGACTTGTGCTGCGGTGATATCTACCCTTTGGAAACGAGTTCCCTTCAAGGCGTGGAAGCCCTTCGCGTCGCATGCTGAGATTGGACTGTGTATATTCACTTTCTCGATATGGACCAGGCCCCTCAAGATGGGCATAGACAGATATTGCATTGTAATAGACAGGGTGGGTAGCTATGGCAGGCCGCAGCTCCGACTGGGAGCTTGCAGCTTCACACCCCAGAGCATAGTAGGCATCCGACTGAATCCACGTCGTAATGCACACACTTCAAAATACAGAAGGCCGAAACGGGGTCCTAGCCCACAAATATGCTTGCGATGAGTGGGAACCTTGGAAAGACATGTGGCCTCTTGTGAGCAGTCGGGAAGAATGGGGATGGGGGATAGGAGATGGGAGATGGCGAGATGATAGATGGGCCATCCAAAGCTGGCTCAGGGATGGAGCTACCGCAGCTTGGCGCGCACGGACGAACATTTTCCCCCAGCGACACGTTGCGAGAACGAGAGCAATATCCCTTCACCCCCCCTCTTCTTTCTTCCATCTCGCGGCCTTGCCCACAACCAATCTTCTCCTTCACTTTTCTTCCTTCTTCTTCTTCTTCTTCGTCCCCGTGGACCCTAGATCGCAGCTATGAGCGGCCGTAAGTCAGATTCCCTACACAATTGCAATGCTCCTTGCACGCTGTAACGGCTCCCTTCAGGCGCGCAACTCGAAGTCGCATGCCCACATGGCACCGCGAAGTCGCGCCGACAGCAGATGTTCTTGTTGCTGACAGCGGCTGGCAGTACGGTTCCTCGACTTGGTCAAACCCTTTGTACCTCTGGTACCCGAAATTCAACTGCCCGAGAGCAAGGTCCCCTTCAACAACCGCCTGGTATGGACGGGCCTCACCCTCTTGGTTTTCTTGGTCATGAGCCAAATGCCCCTGTACGGCATTGTGTCGTCTGATACCTCGGATCCGCTATACTGGCTGCGTATGATGATGGCGAGTAATAGAGGTACTCTGATGGAGCTGGGTATCACGCCCATCATCACCTCCGGCATGGTTTTCCAGCTCCTCGCTGGAACCCACCTGATTGACGTCAACCTCGACCTGAAGTCCGACCGCGAGCTTTACCAGACCGCCCAGAAGCTTCTTGCCATTCTCCTGTCCTTTGGCCAGGCTGTTGTCTATGTTATCTCTGGCCTCTACGGACAGCCTTCTGATCTCGGTGCCGGTATCTGCGTTCTCCTCGTCATTCAGCTCATGATCGCCGGTCTCATAGTCATTCTCCTCGATGAGCTTCTCCAGAAGGGCTATGGTCTCGGCAGTGGTATTTCGCTGTTCATTGCCACCAACATTTGCGAGTCCATCATGTGGAAGGCTTTCTCCCCCACCACCATCAACACTGGTCGTGGCCCCGAATTCGAAGGTGCCATCATCGCCCTTGTTCACCTTCTGTTCACCTGGCCCAACAAGACGGTTGCGCTCAAGGAGGCTTTCTACCGCCAGAACCTGCCCAACGTCATGAACCTGATTTCAACTGTCATCGTCTTCGGCGCTGTCATCTACCTCCAGGGCTTCCGTGTCGAGATTCCCGTCAAGTCTGCCCGCCAGCGTGGTGTCCGCGGCTCGTACCCCGTCCGTCTATTCTACACATCCAACATGCCCATCATGCTGCAGTCGGCTCTGTCCTCCAACGTCTTCCTCATCAGCCAGATGCTGTACAGCCGCTTCTCCGACAACCTCCTCGTCAAGCTTATCGGTGTCTGGGAACCCAAGGAGGGTTCTGCCCAACTGTTTGCTACCTCTGGTATCGCTTATTACATGCATGTCCCATTATCATCCTCGATTTTTGACTCGACATATTGACATTTCCCAGGTCTCCCCCTCTGAGCATCACCGAAGCGCTCTCCGACCCCCTCAAGACCGCAATCTTCATCGTCTACATGCTCGTCGCCTGTGCAGTCTTCTCCAAGACCTGGATCGAGGTCTCTGGCTCCTCCCCCCGCGATGTAGCCAAGCAGCTCAAAGAGCAAGGTCTCGTCATGGCCGGTCACCGTGAAGAATCCATGTACAAAGAGCTCAAGCGCGTTATCCCCACCGCCGCCGCCTTTGGTGGTGCCTGCATTGGTGCGCTCTCCGTTGGTAGCGATCTCCTTGGTGCGCTTGGTAGTGGTACTGGTATCCTTTTGGCTGTCACAATCATCTACGGATACTTTGAGATTGCGGCCAAGGAGGGCGACATGGCTGGATTGAAGGGTATGGTCATGGGATAAATTGACCCCTAATGACTATACCAAGTATGGTTTGGTGTAATGTATATTGCACATTGCGCTTTGTAAAACCGTAAAGTTGGTTTTTTTAGGGAAGGTCTTGATGTTATGGATATATGGGGCTGGCGTGCTCCAAAAGCAAGTAACTACTGTATATTACGAGAAACAATTGCAATGAAGTAGCAAAAGCATTTGATGGCATCGTCGTTCTGGTATTTTTGCGCATGGTCTGGATTGCTATATATACAGATTGATGTGACTGTCATGAATACTCAAGTGATAGTTGTACTATATTGTTCCCTGTGCCTGAATGGTTCAGTGCTTGCGGTCTCTGCAATGGCCTTGTAGGCCGTCATGGGACTTTTTTTTCATGGACAAGAGAAAGTAAATTTGCTAGCTGGCTGTTTCTTCACGTGACGATTCTATCGGTATGGCCCTTGATACATTCCTGTTTAGGCAAGCTGTCAAATGTTAAGAGTGTTGTGCGATGTATAGATATATGTGACTGCCATACCCAAGGCGAGCAGATAATGATATTACACCGAGTGCGAGCATTTTGAAAATTTCGAGACAAAGACGCGAAAAGATATGAATGGCCATCACGTTAGGTAGTACTGGTAGTCTCTGTGCCATTTTAGTTGTTCTTACATGTGCATGCCAGTTCACGGATGACATGCTTATAGGCTTAGCTGGGCTTTAGCAGTAGTATTGAGTTTTAGAGTACAGTGGGTCCAGCGTGCTTGTCAGACTTGCTTTAGTAGTGGAATAAAGCCGCTGTTTTTGGTTTTCACAACTGTATATATGTCCAAACATACTTTTTTTTGGCTTCCGCAGGAAGCATTACAGCTCCTAGGATAGTCCCCAAAAAATTTAGAGCGTAGCCTCTGATTAGCTGAGATAAAACCTCCTCTAATTAACATGACACAAGCTGAACATTTTAACGTAAGCAGATTATGTGATAACTACTTACATGCTACAACACGTGACCTAACTACAGTGCACGTGCTACTCTACCTGCACCTCCTCTGCCATGCTATCCTAACCGCTCCTTAGCCACCCACCCTGTCGCATTATCCCTTAACCTACTTAATTAGACTATAGAATGCTATTTGCGGAAGCACCCTTAGTCGTATGCGATGCTTCTTACGTTTGACAGGATATCGTTAGAAACGTATAGTGGGCTTAGGTGAGGAGGTGTTATTTTACTAATAGCATTTAGATACGTTGATGATCGTGTAGTTAGGTGTGGCTTGAATATGCTAAGGAATTTTGAAGCCTACCTGTACCTACGGGAGAGTCTCTAGCTCAGCATTTTTTCACCGCGATCTTATTCAAAAGTTTTTATAGAAAAATGTCACTCGAGTGATTGATTTCAAGGATACCTATAATCTTAGTTTCTGCCTAGTTTCGACAAGGATGTGCCTTTACAAATACTGCATTTTGTTACACTGCATTTGCATCGCATCCCTTTGAAGAAGACCATGGTTGAATAATCGCAAAGCCAGTAGCTGTAGGTACCGGTATCGCGTTCCAGATTACCCTGTGATTTCCAAAGAGCAGATCCCTGAACCCGCACAAAGACGTCCATGCACGACAACAGAGTATGGATTGTTCCAGCACCGTTTCCAGCACTTCTACATTATCTTGCAGTAGACAAAATCAACACAATTAAAGTCTCTTACCGCATCGTGCCTCAATATCGAAATGTTTCACCAAAGCACGCAAACTACCCGTCCTAGGTATCTCCTCGGCTCATCGTCCAGCAGATCACGTGATACCGCGAGACGGACTTTAGCCGTTTAACCAGTGGCAGAGGTATGTGAAAATGCATTTCTATAGCGTGTGCAGAGGCTTGATGTGTTCACACGGTGGCTTTGTACAAGTGATGTATACCGGTAGCGAACAGTCTTTCGCTCGGGCAGCGAAGAGTCTCGACTCATGGATGTCCCGGTACCGGTATCCATTAACATGCTCAGACTGCAGCCAGAATAATCCGTGGGTAGGTATCGCTACTCAATATCGTGATTGTGGCTATTAGCGAGATGCATACTTTGTGAAGCTAGATTGAGTAAAGATCTAGCACTTCTAATTGGGACTCTTGGGTTCGATCATCAATAAGTGATACATGGTGTATAAGGCTGATACTGTTCGGGTGCGGTCATCAGTCACAAAGGAGCGAGGGCAATGTGATATTGCATGTACTTCAGCGGACAAATCCTTACCTAGTGGGTGCTTATTGGGCTTACTATAATTTCGTTGGCTTGTGTGAGAAGAACGCGAGGAGATCATACGAGGAGTTAGCCGTGCGTAGCTGGCTTCTGTAGGATATGCAATGCGATCAGTGAGACCTCGTTGCTGAAATGCACCGTATTGAAGCATTCCCTTTTATAAGAGACAGTCCGTTATGTTTCCGGGCGTCTGGCTCAGATAGCCGGCAGGATCGTGCATGGTAGGATGAACAAGCGATGTCGAAGGAATCAGTGCATTGCGGGCCAATGCTAGGTACCGGTACCTATGGTACCTAACTAACCTCATCGGGTCCGGAGTTCAAGGGAACCCACAGAATGCAAGGCTGATCATGCTTGCGGCTCTACTAGGACGACGTTCGTTTGGACAGGACTCATCAGTGAATTCAATGTCTCCTAGCCAAGCATCTCTATATAATCAATAGCTGTTTAAGAAGCTGCAAGCAATCTGGAGATTTGTCGAGAGGTGTTTTTTAAACTGCCCTCCGGCCACAGCAGCCGCCTGGTTCAGCCTCCACGCAAGGCCATTCTATGAAGCTGATTGGATAGCCAACGTATGCATCCCGTGCCAAATTCGTGCAGGTAACCTTGGAATAATCAACTTTTCGTACTGTGGAGGCTCAAGGGCAACAATCTTACAGACTCCGTGAAACATGATCCAGGAAAGAAACCTGGGAGAGGGAGCATGTTGGCTTCCCGCGCTGTACTTGAAGGTAAGCCTTCGCCTGTTCAATCATTCTCCCAAATTTCAAATGAAGACGATCAGACTGTACACGCAGTCATCCCGGCATGACAACAGTGCGCCACATGACCCCTATAATTTGCGTTGAAGGAACGTTACCCATCTTCCCAGGTTGGTGCTGATTTGCTTCGGGGACACACTTGATATGAGTTGACTGTTATAGACAGCATTACGTGCCGAGGCTAACATTGTCATCAACCTTGGAAGTCTGCCTACTTTAATCAAAAGATCAAAATTGGGGAACAGTAGCCCTGGTATTCCACCAACCAACGTGCGTCTCACGACATGGGCCCCTCATGCAGTGTTCGGCGTTATTCGATGCTCGCCTACGAAGAGACTGTGGGGAAGGGCCCGATATCTTCATGGCCTCGGTCACTGACAGATGAGCTTGAAGAGTAAGGGACTAGTGCCTGGTTAATCTATTCAACCGTAGCTCAGAGCTTACTCTTCGCGTGTGCAAAACCTTCAACAAAGGTCCAGGGATACATTATGGCGTACTTTTGTCGCAAGAAACACCAGTAACGATGGTGTTCTGCCAGCTTGGCGAGAAATACCAACAACCGTTCTGACGGATCTCGAGGTACCATACTATACTTGTGTTTATCCTGTATACTATGCATGTCGCACCTGTCAATGTGCAAGGCCTCCACGGCACAAGTGATAGGGAGCCCAAGGAGTCTCATTGCTTCAGAATGCCGAGCCCGGCTTGACTATGACAACGGCCGATCCATCATGTCAAGGCGCTTCTCCCCGCGATCGCCTTTTGGACGGTTCGAATATTTTGCCGTTCCCTCTACCCCATACGGGGTTTCGCCCGCGCAAAATGCCAGGTGAAGCTATGCACATACTCATTTATCCGGTCCGTTAGACCGCTGCTCTGGAACGAGAAATCATTATGGACATGGATCACACGACCTGCATAGCAGATACATATATATGAAGCAGCACATGGCAATCCATTGAGGCCAAGCTGCAATCAGCCTGCAGGACGACATTTCAAGTCCTCTACAGTTGCGGACATAGGGTTGGTTGTGTTTTCCGAAACAGACCTACATCATCAACTCCCTTCCTTGAATCTACGAAGGTCGACAGCACTCAAGGGCAGGACAAGATGGGTCTCTATCAGAAGTTTACGCCAAAAATTGGTGCCATTGCGAAGAGCAAGGCGGATGTGGAGGCTGCTCAAGCTGAGGCACCTCATCTGGCACGTGTAGATTGGAAAACGGATCCCGGTTTACGAAAGCTGTACTTTTGGGCATTCATCATTTGTATCGCCTCTGCGACTACAGGTTACGATGGGTGAGTAGTCATTTGACCGAATGGCAGGTAGTCATAAATGCTGAAAGACAACAGTTCCATGTTGAACAACCTCCGAATCCTCGACAGGTGGACCAACTACTTCAATGACCCCAAGGAGTCTACCCTCGGGCTCTTGACTGCGCTCTACTCCATCGGTTCCATCGCCTCGCTTCCCGTCACTCCCTTCATTGCTGACCACTTTGGCCGTCGGTCTTGCATAGCTTTGGGATGCATTATCATGATCGTGGGCGCTTCCATCCAGGCTGCCGCTAAGAACCTCGACTACTTCATGGGTGGCCGTTTCTTGCTGGGTTTCGGGAATTCGCTAGCCCAGCTTTCCTCGCCGCTTTTGCTCACTGAACTATGTCATCCCCAGCACCGTGCTCGTGTTACCGCCGTCTACAACTGCTTGTGGAACGTAGGTGCTATTGTCTGCACGTGGTTGACATTTGGCACCAAGCGCATCGAAAACGACTGGTGCTGGCGTATTCCTGCACTCACACAGGCTGCGCCTTCCGTCGTGCAACTTGCCTTCATCTGGTTTATCCCGGAGTCTCCGCGTTGGTTGATCTCCAAGGAGCGGAATGAGGAAGCTCTCAACATACTCGCCAAGTACCACGCCAATGGCGATGCCAACAACGCCACAGTACAGTTCGAATACGCCGAGATCAAGGAGACTCTTCGCCTCGAGTTCCAGTATCAGAAAACATCTTCTTACTTTGATTTCTTCAAGACCAAGGGCAACAGATACAGACTCATGCTTCTTGCATCTCTCGGTCTCTTCTCGCAATGGTCGGGAAACGGCTTGGTGTCCTACTACGCAACGGACGTCTATAAAAGCATTGGTGTTACCGATGATGATACCCAGCTCGGTCTCAACGGTGGCCTCACCATCCTTTCGCTAATAGTCTCCGTTTCCTGCGCTCTACTTGTCGATCGTGTCGGTCGTCGCCCACTTTTCATGACTGCCACAGCCTCCATGTGCGTCACCTTCGTTGTCTGGACAATCGCATCATCACAGCAAGAAGCCAAGAAGAGCAAGTCCGCTGGCCAGACTGTGATTGCTATGATCTGGATTTTCTCTGTGGCATATGCGTTGGCCTGGTCTGGCCTCCTAGTCGCCTACACCGTTGAAATCCTGCCTTTCAAGATTCGTGCCAAGGGTCTTATGATCATGAACTTCTTCATTCAAGTTGCTCTGACCATCAACCAATACGTCAACCCGTACGGTTTCGAGTATCTTCATCCAACCTGGAAATTCTACACCATCTACGCTGTAAGTCTACCCACCTGTTATTTTTTGTCATTGAAAAACACGCTGCTAATAATTCCCAGTGTTGGATCTTCCTTGAACTCGTCTTCGTCACCGTGTTCTACGTCGAGACTCGTGGACCTACTCTCGAGGAGGTTGCCAAGATATTCGATGGTGATGAAGCTGAGGTTGCCCATGTGGATCTGGAGAAGGTTGAGGCCACTGTCATGACCTCCGGATACGAGAAAGACGAGAACGTTCGCGTTGAGCAAGTTCGCGGTCAGTCTTAGATGAGTCAGTTGTCAAGTATGTGCCGTGTAATTCCTGAACTGGGCCGATCTCTAGTTCTTTATCGTGCAAGTTATCAGCATACGCACGTTGCTCTGTCAATGTTCTCAAGAATATTAGAAGCGAAATCGCATCCTCCTTTTCGGATCTTCATGTGTGTCGTTCTACCGGGGCGTGGGCGAGGACTTTATCATCTTGATTTTGCCGCTAACGGACCATGAACGATACGATATATTGGACCAAGTTACATTCGCAAACTAAAACACAATTCTTGCGGCACATCCCATATTGAGACCTATTGGCTCCGGCCATCTTTTCTCAGGACCAACCAACTCACAGCACCATAGTCAGAGACTCAGTCCCGACCGCCTTATTCGATACCAACAGTACCCTTCTACCAAGTTTCTTTGATCAAATCCGCAGCCTTTTCCCCAACTGCATACATCGTACTCTGCAGGTGCTGACTCGGCACCAAGGGAATAATACTCGCATCGACAACCCTCAAACCCCTAACCCCATAAACTCTAAGCTTCTTGTCCACACACCCGCCGAAATCCTCCCCCATCATTGCACACGTACCGCTCGGATGGGCGAGCGTGGGCATCACACTCCCTGCGGCCACCAGGGCATCAATAATGCCGTCATCGGTTGTAAATTGCGCCCCCGGTAACGTCTCTATAGGGGAGAACTTAGCCAGGGAGGCGGTTTTGCGCGTGAGGCGAATATATCGGACGGAAGCTGCAAGAACAGCCTTGTCGATGGGATTGCTGAGAGCATTGTAGAAGATGTTTGGGGGACCTCTGGGGTTCAGAGGGTCTAATGTTACACTGCCCCTACTCAGCGGTTTCTCGTGCGCAATGAGGACAGAGTCACCGGCCGCAGAGATGGGAGATTCCATGATTGCAGAGAGGTTGCTTGTGTAGAGACCTGCGAGGACTTTGCGTTGTGCTGCGATGCCAGCTTGGAGCTTGGAGCTGTTATTATAGATGGGTGGGAGGTGAGCGCTGGGGTTTTGGCTGAGCATGGCTAGGGTAAGGTTTAGGTAGTTGGTTGGGTCGACTTGGGAAAAAGGTATCATTGCTAGACTATTTCCGCGGGCATTCGTCAACGGACCTGTTTTAGTGGTGCGGTATTGTTCCCATGCTGAGGCGTTGAATGTCGCGTTCGTTATCAATGAGTGCGGATTAGGGTTGCTGACGTTTGAAACGTTGAAAGCCATCAACATGAATGGATGATCTTGAAAGTTTGCTCCTACCCCGTCGAGTTCATATTTTACAGCAATGCCCGCGGATTTGAGGACAGAGCGCGGGCCTACGCCGCTCAATTGGAGGAGTTTGGGCGTGTTGATTGCGCCGGCGGCGAGAATTACTTCGCGCGATGCATAGACTGTACTTATTGCGCTTGTCTTCCTAGAGGTGATTCTAACGCCTGTAGCCGTCAAATCTATGTTCTTTTCGAAAACAAGCTCTATCGCCTCAGACTCCAAAAGGACGTGGAGGTTCTCGCGCTCGCTGATGGGCTCATAGTACGAATTTCGCGCATGTGATCTTTCACCCGTTCTAGGATCCATAGAGTTGGGATACCATGATGTACCATATGCATCACCAGAGTTGCCATCAACAGACTTATGAGCACCCAGTTCTTCATAGGCCCTAAAGTATGCTGTAATGTCCGGGTAATGAAAATCTGAGATACCAATCTTCAAAGGTCCATTGGCGTATCTATCGGGCAAGTGGTCAGCATTTACGTAGCATCCATCATAACGAACTTACGCATCTACACTCCAAGTGATCCCAAATGCCTCAGCAGTCGCATTAGGCGGTGCGATAAACTCTGTGCTCTTTTTTAGGTAGGGAAACAGATCATTCCATCCCCACCCGTCATTTCCTAGTTGCTTCCAGGCGTCGTAATCGATCTTTGCTGCACGATCATACACCATACCGTTGATAACCGATCCACCACCCAGCACCTGAGCCACGTACACCTCCCATGTCTTGTTTCCAAGTAACGGCTCCGGCTCAGAAATATAATTTGCCCATAGCAAAGAGCTATTGGGAGGGTAATTTGCAGCGTATGGTAAGCGAACATTGGGATTATCATATGCGCCACCGGCTTCGATGACCAATACAGAGACTGTCGGGTTAGCATTGCGAATGTGAGGGTTACTAATCGCAGATCGAACTGGCTATTTGACGGATGTATCATTCTCACTAGATCAAAATCTCCCTTCAAGCTCGTAGCATGTAGTAAGGCTGAGAAGAGAGCTTACTGTTCTTGTCTTCTGTCAGGCGATGGGCAACGACGAGTCCCGTGACCCCGCCACCGACGATTAGATAATCATACGTGTTGGTCTCATTGCCTGGTCTCGTTTGCACTGCATCAATGGAAAAGGTGAGACAAATGACGATGAGGATGAGAAGGGCTATTCGATTGCAGAGAAACATTAGGACGATGTCACTTGCACGTAGCGTTATGACAGAGAATGAGAGAATCTATAGGATACGACTGAGCCAAAGAGGGTACCGTGGACCGCTTAAGTACGTTAGCCATCATCTCGAGGTGGCTCCTTGTTGCATGCACGAATCGACATGGGAATTACAAGGAAACTGCAGCATGTATAGAGACCTGGGGCGTTGTCGGTGATGGGATGGGACGGGTATGAGGTAGAAATAGCATGTGTAGTAGTACAAGTAATCCGGAATCTGCGGGTGCAGCAAGACAGCACGGTGTAGAGTAGCTCATGTAGTGATTTCTTGGCCGGAAAATTGCCTAAAGACGGATGACGCCTTCGTATTTTGTGTTTGTATTGACAGGTGCATGATTCCTGATATTGATCGATATTGAGAAAAGAGATAGGATTTCAAAGTAATGTGTGCCGGCGAGTAGAGTTGACTCTAGAGCGTGGAGGAGAGAGGAGGAGAGGAGAGGAGATAGTAGAGTAGGACAGGAAGACGTGATTTCTTTCCAAGGATAACAAGTTGAATAACCGCAGGATGCTCATCATCACATGCAGTGGAGGGTGATGTCATGCTATGCCCGGAGTGGACTAACCAAAGGGTCTGGACTGGACCCTGGCGCGGGAGCCATCTGATCGACAAAGATGGCTAGCCTCAGTACAGCCTAGGGGCAGATGGCCAGCATGAACCATGATGGATTTCATGGAACACGGGTGAAACGCCGCAAGCGCCAACATTTTGCAGCTCGCATTCCTACCTCAGGTACTACTACTATACTACTACTACTACTACTACTACTACTACTACTACTACTACTACTACTACTACTACTACTACCGTTTTTGTGTTTACAGTGTATACACTGCTACTCCCCCAAACACGCAGCCACGCAGACTTCACCCATAATGACAGCAGCAGTGGAGCTGCCGCCCCCTGCCCCGTCGATAGAGACGAGCAGCCTGAGCTGTCCTGCATGCGGGACAGCAGCCATGGAGCTGGACAGAGCGAGCCTCGACAGCGCGCGACAGCGGATAAATCAGCTCGAAGAGCAGGCCGAGATGCTCAAGGCAAAACTCGCCGCTGCAGGTCAGTCACTCAACGTCCACCCAACTCTCTCTCTCTCTCTCTCTCTCTCTCTTACGTACATACACATCCCTGTCCGCGCGACAAGCTTTCCAACACCAAGGAAATCAACGCCGCTCTGACCCCCGCCCAGTGGATAAATGCACCGACTACGAAGACCAACTCCAGCGCCTCCAAACCTCCTCCCAACTGCCGGTCCAGCCCCTGCGCTCTCAGACTCTCGACTCGTACCAAACAGTCCGTCTCCCGTCCGAGGAAGCAGCGCGACCCAGCACCGCAAGCTCGGCCAAAGCCGCCAGCCGCTTCTCCTTTTTCGCCGGCGTAGGCCGTCGCGCGAGTCCTGCCAATGTTGCCTCTCTGCCTCCTCCACCCGCTTTGCCCTCCACCACAAGCACAACACCGCCCGACCTAACCCTCCTTAACGAACTCGAGCGCGAACGCAGCCTCCGCGCCAAAGCAGAGGAGCGCGCACAAAAGATCGACATTGAGATTGAAGAACTGAGTGTACAGTTGTTCAGTCAGGCGAACGAGATGGTGGCTGAAGAGCGCCGTGCACGCGCAAAGCTCGAGGAGAGGGTGGAGACGCTGGAACGGAGGGATAGAGAGAAGATGGCGCGCTTGGACAGGCTGGAGAAGGCCGTGGAGAGGGTGGAGAGGGTGAAGAAAATATTGGGCTCCGAGGGTGCCATGTTCATACCTGCGGCGAGGACCTAGGCAATCTGATGGCTGGCCTGGGTGTTGTCGCTGGAAGTGGAAGAAGAAGGAGGGGTGCATGGTTGAGGTCTTGACTTGCATTTTGGTGTTCTATACCCTTGTATCGTATGTACCTCCACTGGAGATTCGCGCAGCATTGTTTTGGCGTTCTTGGGCCAATCTGGGCATTGTGGCATGTATCTCTCGGACACAGATACTCGCCGGGCCGAGGCCTACAATCTTGTTGATCAGGTGTGCAGAAACGCAAATCATGAATTCAATAACGGTGAATATACCATGTGCCACAGTGCAGCACATTGCACAAGCGACTGAATCACTGCATATCTCTTCTCTACTCTCAACTCAACTCTTGCCTCCCCACTCCCTCCACCACTCATACAGCGCAATACCCCCCGCAGTTTGCACATTGAGACTTCTTGTCACACCCACTGTCTTAATCTCTACACAGCGATCGATAACCGTCAAAACCTCTGGCGTAATGCCGCCTTTTTCGCTTCCCAACACCACCACACACTTCTTCGGCAATGTACCTATACTCTTCCCCCAGCGTGTGGAAGCCGCTCCTCCATGTGCATCCACATCCTCGCCTTCTCCCAGAATCCCACTACGGTCCGTTTGTTCAACACCCACGACAACATACCCTTTGCGTTTCGTTTCAATGAGGAATTGCGGAACATCTGAAATTTTCAATGCATGAATGGGAAAATGCTTTTCAGACGTGACACTTGTTGCCTTGAAGTCTTTGTGTGCTGTTTTCTTGAGGTCGTCGATGTATAAAGCTTCTAAGCCGAAGGACTCGGAGATTCGAGAGAGACCGCCGAGATTGGTAGGGTTGTCGATTAGAGATGCGACCAGGATGACCGAAGCTGGTCGCCGATACTTGGTGAAAGGGGAGTCTGGAGGTGGGTAAAGCGAGCCGAAGTCGAAGGCCTTGGTTTGCAGGAAGCTTGGAGCGACAGTGAAGACATCATTATTACTGCTGTATTGTTTCGGGCGAGTTTCCAGAGCCTGGACATCGAAAAAGAGCGGTCTTTTCTCGCCAAGTGGTATGCGGGACGGGGGACAGCGTATGCTTTCAGCATCATCCATCGCTTCTAGTGAGATAAAGTCCTCATAGATCACTCGCTCCTTTTCTGGCGACTCTATAGTGAGATAGCGACCTTGAAAAATATCGACAAGACTATAGTCTTCTTTCGCGTTCAATGGCAGTGTCCGAATTGTCCAGGGATCGGCATGGAACTTTTCCATCTGCCGAATATAGTGATCTAATGCTGCATAGGTGGCTTCTGCAGTGATTCCTTGCCATTTCTTTTCTCCTGCTAGTGAGAACAGGACAGGGAACGCAAAATTGGCTTCATGGCGAATTTGGACCTTCGGGCTAGCGGAGAAGCAGACCAGCTGTAGCAGAAGTTGCTTTGCGAATCTTTCCGACTCGAATGGTGCAACCAGTTGTCCAAGCTTGATAAGACTTGCAATACGCGCAGGGGGGTATTGTGCCGCTTTTTCCAGGTCTTCGAGTATACGAAAGGTCTTTCCTGAGAATCGGCTGTAAATACGTGCTACGATCCACTCGAGCAGATGACGATAACGGGGCCATGGCTCATGAGACAAAGCGTACGTCAGCGACTCTATATATTCATCCGCATCAGACTCTTCAACGCAATAGTCGCTGAGTATAAGCATAGCTTGTAGCTGTAAGGTATCTTTCCACGGGCTGTTGATAGGTGCTGGAATTTTCTGTTCTCGCCATGGCTTAACCAGCTCAGCGAAGATATTTTTGGCAATACCCAACTGTTCTTCAGGCCAGCGCTGCAGCATGTCGACAAATGCTGCATATGCATGGCACTCACGCTGTCCATAGTACGATATATAGGTCTTGTGGCTCACCAAGCGTTCTAGTTTTTCTGCCGCAGCCACTTCGAAGAGGAACTCGGGCTTGGAAGTTGGCGGATCGTTCAAGTATTCGAGTATGTATTTCTCCAGAGGGAGGCAGTTCGCAATGGGAGGATTGCAAAAGACAGCTTTGCGGATCGACACTCCAAGTACAGAGAGAATATATGATCGGCCTTTGGACAAATGCTGAAGATGTAGCAAGGCTCTCGAAAGCAAGCCTTCCAAACAACCTCCGGGGTCTCCTGTCGGCACCGAATGTTGTTGAACACAAATCGCAACGCAGGAGGGATGAAATAGTACGGAAGGTAGATGTATCGCCACGTGCCTACCGAACTCACATCTTTCAGCTTCTTCCCAAAACGCTTGCAAGATATCGTAGAGCTGCTGTGAGTCTATTGATGAGACTTCGATCTGATCCAGTATACCGGTGACAATGTTGCAACTCAGACCAAATCTGTCGTCCTGGATAGATCGATGTCTGGAGCGCTTCAACTCTGCAACAAAACTCTGCAACGAGCAAGACACATTTTCCCCACTAGACGAGTTCACGAGAGGGAGTTGTTTTCCATCAGCTGGATCGCATAGCTTTCGGACTCGCTCAAGCAATTGTGCGGATCCTGAGAGGCCCATAGAGCCAAAGTCGGGACGAATGAGTGCGCAAATGTCTCGACAATATAGAGTAAGAAGATCAGTTGAGATCTCAGGTAGCCCAGGTAGACGCGCAAGGGTCAAGATTCCGACCAAGTCTGCGGAACTCAAGGAGAGTTGCAGTGCGTTTAGGGTAGAGCCCGCAGCGCGCTTCTGCAGTCCCTTGAGCAGGCCTTCCAATAGATACAGGATGGCCGGTTGAAAGATTCGACCACGAGCATTATTGATGAAGCAGATGACATCAGCGATGACGGTTGCACCGTACTGTAGAGATGATGCATCTTCTATGCCAGTTCTGGCGCCCTCGGTTGCAACCAACCGTGCGACGACATCGGTCAACGCAGCACCATGCGAACATACTGTCTCACTGCGGGTCGATCGGAGACTGGAAACAAAAAGGCTGCCTTCTGTGGCCCACGGTAGGAAGCTACCAGTGAAGAAGTTCCTGTCCGTTATGGTAACTTTGTCGGTCTAAATGCAGGGGCCCATGATTAGCAGGAGATTCTTCACATAACGTCAAAGTGTAGCAACGATGACAGTGACACTGTTTATGGTGGTAGCAGCTACTCCCTGATCGCCTTGAGCAGAGATCACTGACAGGCATTCAGAAATGCACGTACCTCGGACGCATGATTCATGTACCAATGTCCAATTATCTTGCGAACACCTACTTGAACGCGCGAATCTAAAGCCGCTGAGAGCAAGCTTGCCGTCATATCCATAGTGATTTTTGAACCTGGTCCAAGCAATGCTGTCAACTCGGGTAGACATGCTTCCACTTGGTTGGGATATCGATTCAGTACGATAGTTCGGTAAAGCGTGGTGTATTGTTCGTAAGCTGTCTGGTAGGCCAAGCCCACACGATATACCATAGTCTTTGTGACAATATCCTGTTTTGCAAGAAGTAGAGACTGGTAGATGATGCCAAGACAGTACTTTTGCTCTTCTGCAGAACCACGTGAAAGCTTGTTAGACACAATTTGCCAGTAGACAGCGTCTCGTAAGCAGTGTAGTTCGGTTCCGGCCATACGAGCTTGCGAAATCCATTGAAACCATACTTTCATGATTTTGCTGGAGTACGTCTGCCAGGTTGATGGCGAAACGTGCACAATCTGCGTCCATAGTGAATCTTGATCATGCCGCTTATGACTAAGGAGCACTCCTGCTAACACATTCGCAGCGACTATTGAGGAGGAAGTAGAAGGTAGCTGGAGATTATTGAGTGTACTAGCGATCGCGATCTGCTCACTATTCTGGAGAAGTGATAAGAGAGCTGACAATGTATCCAGCGCAATGTCTTCTAGTTCTAGACCGATGAAGCCTGAAATGATCGAAATACATTCAGCATTGATCAGATGGTGTCGATCCGAAGGTAGCCAAAACGAGCAGCGCAAGAACCTGAGATATGCTGCGGCCAAGTTGGATGGGCTCGCCGCCTCTGATGGATCGGAGAAATGCCCTGCCGACGCCCTAGACGAAGTTTTGATGCTCAAGTCTGCAAGGACTGTCTTCAGTGCAGAGAAAAGCCTATCGTGGAAGCGCGAGGCTATGACGAAGCCATTGCCGAGACATATGTCAGCTATCTCGTACAGACGCCCATGCGTATTCTCGTCCGGTGAACGCTGCACACAGTCTATCCAGTGGAGCAATCCATCCCATAAAACTGCATGGTCTGACTGTGACGACTCTACCGTGGGCGCCAAGGCCACGGCAGTCCGAAGTGCATCAAGGTCTAGTGACGCGGTGAAATTGAGATTCTTTACACTGCGTTCGAAGATGGCCCTCTTGGTGCTCTCGTCCAGGAGAGCTAGGAGAGCATCGGACCGCATGACGTCTTCAGAATGGCGGAGATGATCCAAGGAAGAACAACGGAGGGCATATACACAAGCTGTGGCCTAGATCGCGTGGCTGAAGGGAGCTTGAAGGTTGAATCGAATGCACGAGAGGTCTGGCTGTGCATTCTCAGGCTGATACGGTTGTCAACTGACAACCAGTCAGCAGCCAAAATTGTTGATGCGATGAAATTAATTTTGTCGCTAGTACCGATGGGTAGCGGTAAGTAGGTTACAGCGCCGTACCGAATAGCTAATAGGAACTAAGTACTAGGTAGCTAGGTAATTAATTCAGGCCCCAGGGTAGCATAGCAGCGGAATGTTTGCAGACGTCTTCCAGAATGCAAACCAGTCTGTTGATGAGACCCTTCCAGCGCTGTACCCTAAAAAGAGATGTGTTCTGTCCACAGGGAATCTCATCACTCACCACATCCCAATCCCAATCCAAGCCCATCCACGAAACGAACCCGCTTTCCCCCCGTCACCGTCACGTTGAAGAAAGAGTTGGGCATTGATCGTCCGTTGCGGGGTGCCAAGGCCGTGACGTCGCTTAAGCACAAGCTTCCAGGCTCTCCCGAGGTCCCCAGCAACCGCCCGGGCAGCGGGCGCTTTTGTTGTTGTTGTTGTTGTTGTTGTTGTTGACATTTGCCTTGTTTGGGCAAGGCGCGGCCGGGCTTCGCTCCATGCGTGCGGTGTCCCGATGAACTGCGCCCAATGCACCTTCTGTACATTTCGCGGTCGCGACAGCTCCTTCATCATTGCTATCTGTTGTTGGACGAGATCATAGCTGAGCCAATGTACTCTGGACTCCACACCACCGCTTCAGCGCCCTCGATGCGCGCCGTCGAGCCGTTTTCCATCATGTCCACACCGCTCGTCAACGACGACCCCGGCAATGTCAAGGTCGTGGTGCGATGCCGAGCGTTTGTGCCCAGAGGTAGGACCAGCGACTCGTTGCCAAAGAGACATGCACTTGTATGTACTGACGCATCCAACAAGAAAAGGAAAAGGGAACTCGATGTCTTATTCGAATGGACCCAGCGACCCAGAAGACGACGCTGTATGCACCCGATGAAGAGGACGGCAACTCGCGGCGAGTCTATGAAGACAAAGAGTTTACCTTTGACAAGTCATACTGGTCGCACGACGAGTCTGACCCGCACTACGCCCACCAAGAAGACGTCTACCGGTCGTTTGGCGAGGAGTTTTTGGATCACAACTTTGCAGGATACCACACATGTATCTTTGCATATGGCCAGACGGGCTCAGGCAAGAGTTACACCATGATGGGCACTCCAGACAATCCGGGGTTGATTCCACGCACGTGCCAAGAGCTGTTCGACCGCATTGCCCATGAACCCTCACCCAACACAAATTACCATGTTCAGGTCTCGTATTTTGAGGTTTACAATGAGCACGTTCGGGATCTTCTAACCCCAAGAACCGTTCCGCCAATCTACCTCAAGATCCGCGAGAGTCAAAAGGACGGCGTGTATGTACAAGGTCTGACGGAGGCTGAAGTCCGGAGCTACGCCGACGTCGAGCGCTTAATGAAGATCGGTGACATGGTGAGTACTTCGTATTCTCAGCCTTGCAAGCGCATGCACTTATCCCCTCGCAGAGCCGAACAACAGCGTCCACCAAGATGAACGACACCTCGTCACGCTCTCACGCCGTCTTCACAATCCGCCTCAAGCAAATCACGCACTCACTGCTCTCTGACGAGACTGTCGAACGTACAGCACGCATGCGCCTTGTCGATCTTGCGGGCTCTGAGCGGGCGAAGTCAACAGAAGCCACAGGCCAGCGACTAAAGGAAGGAGGACAGATCAACAAGTCCCTCACAACACTGGGCCGAGTCATCGCTGCCCTTGCAGATCCTCGACGGCAGACAAAAGGCCGGCGACCACGAGAGGTTGTGCCATACCGTGATTCGGTCCTAACATGGCTTCTCAAGGATTCGCTCGGTGGTAACAGTAAGACGGCCATGGTTGCCTGTATTGCACCTGCCGACTACGAAGAGACATTATCAACGCTGCGCTACGCAGACCAAGCGAAGCGAATCCGCACCCGCGCCTCGGTCAACCAGGATTGCATGTCTGCTGCCCAGCGAGATGCGGAGCTTCAGGAGATGGCCGAGCAGATCCGCAGTCTGCAAGTCAGCGTTAACGCAGCCAGCCAACGTAAGCGTGAAGAAGCGACTGAGCTGGAGGAGTATCAGAGACAAGTCGCTTTGATGCAGCGACTGATGGAAGAGAACCGTCAAGTCTCCGCTGCAAAGATTAAGGCTTTGAGTTCCGAGGTTGAAGAACTTCGTCCGCTCAATGCTGCACTCCGCGCTGAGATCGATTCGCTGCGCCGCCATCTTGCGCTTGCAGTAGGAGAGCTCAAGAACCCCATCGTGCTACCGCCGCCTCGATCCCTTGGTACGCCTGATTTTGAGCAAGGCGATTGGCTAGGTGACGGGGATGGTAAAGAAGACATGCCCGTTCCCATTGATGATGAGATCAGCGATGATGACTCGGATTCAGGTTATGATGAGGGCGATCATGACGAACTGGCACAGGAGTTGCAGAACGAAGCGCAGGACTTCTTGAAGGACCTCGGCATGTTTCGCAAGAAGGTCGGAAGTGACGTTGAACGATTTGGCGTACGGGAGGCACTAGCTCAAATGATGGCCGGTCATTGAGTATCATGTGGATGCCTTTTGGATTGGCATCAAAGCAACCATATAATTTACGCTGTTGACATGGCGCATGAGCGAGTAATGAATGAATGCATCGAGCGAGGGCGTTTTGAGGTCGTTGGGATAAAGTCGAGTTATAGTCATGGCTTGCAATACATAGTTTGGATAGTATATTGCTTCTCAAGAAATGGAATGAGATGATACGTAACATTTGTACACTGAGACATCAATGCGTTAGATGGTGTTTTGAATTGTCACGTTTCCGATACTGGTAGTACCTACCGGAAGCAGGGAAGCTCAGACCCTGGAGGACCTCACCTCCAAAGCTTTAGATACCGTAGTTGTGGCTGACAGCTCAGGTTGCAGCCAGCCATCACCGCACCAGCATGATAGCCCGATAAGCCAGATCGCCATGTCGAAGCCAACAGCTAACTGGGAGAAAGTCGGCGACAAATTCTACCGCAAGGTCCAACTCTACACGGCCGTCTTCGACTCGGATCTCGAGCTCGAAAACTACAATGTGGTGGGGGCGCCGTACAGCGGTGCTGTAGGTAGGTATGCATCTATGTGCTGCCATTGCCATGCTCTACCTAACCCCTCTCTATAGCCGTCTACCGTGATGAGGAGAAGCTGCACACATACCGCGGACCGGGTGCAACCAAGGCGAGCATCGATCTCTACAGTTGCGCTGGCAAGCTCATCCGTAGTATCAACGTACGAACGCGCACGCCCAACTGACGCATGGACAACTAGCAAGCTGACAGCAGGCAGTGGGACAAGGGCACGATCAAAGGCTTGGGATGGTCCGAAGACGAGAAGCTGCTTGTTGTGAGCTCGGACGGCACGGTGCGCTGCTACTGCGACCTCCAGGGCGACTTCGTCCCCTTCACGCTGGGCCATGGCGCAGATGAATATGGCGTGGTCTCGTGTAGATTCTACAGCACTGGCTTTGTCGCCTTGCTTGGCAACAATCATCTCATCTCTATCACTTCATACACCGAACCGCGTCCCAAGCTCCTCGCCATTCCGCCCAATGAGCCTGTCGTGTCGTGGAGCATCATTCCACCGGCATACTCCCTTTCGCGATCGATAGAGGTCATTCTTGCCATTGGAGCCACCCTATATGTCGTCGATGCGACCGAAGCCGAGGATCGCAACTTCAATGCTGGTCCCTTCAGACACATAGGCATCAGCCCGCGCGCTGAGTTCCTCGCCTTTTACACAGACGATGGCAAGGTCTGGGTAGTCAGTGGCGACTGGAGCGAGAAGCTCAGCGAGTACGACAGCGGAGTCAAGACTGTACCCAAAGACATGCAGTGGTGCGGGTCCAACGCCGTAGCTCTGGCCTGGGAAGATGAAGTCCACTTGATTGGGCCCAATAGCGCAGCTACCAAGTTCTACTACGACACCTGGGTCCATTTACTCCCAGATGTGGACGGCATACGGCTTTTTACAAACGAGGTGTGTGAATTCATTCAGAAGGTGCCGGACGAAGCGGTGGAAGTCTTCAGGTTAGGGTCGGACTCGCCTGCTGCAAATTTGCTTGAGGCGTCATCTTTGCTGGATCAGAAGAGTCCAAAAGCGGACGATCTCATTCAATTGATTCGCCCAAACCTGGCGGAGGCAGTCGACACGTGCATCAAAGCAGCCGCGCACGAATACAATATACACTGGCAAAAGGCACTACTAAAGGCAGCATCGTACGGCAAATCAGTACTCGATCTCTATTCATCCGACGACTTCGTCGACATATGCGATACCCTGAGGGTCCTTAACGCCGTCCGCTTTTACGAGGTCGGGCTACCATTGAGCTATGATCAATACCGTCGGATGACACCCGAAAAACTGATCGAGCGTCTTACGAATCGCAACGAATATCTTTTGGCATTACGCATAGCCGACCACTTACATCTACCGGCCAACCAGATACATGGCCACTGGGCGCAGCAGAAGGTCCGCGTCTCCCAAGCTCCAGAAGAAGAGATATGCAGCTTAATCGTCAAAAAGCTGTGTGGTAAGCCCGGGGTCTCCTTCGAAGAGATAGCGCGTGCGGCCTATGATGAAGGACGTGTGCGCCTGGCGACGGAACTACTGAACTATGAACCTAGAGCTGGCAAGCAGGTTCCCCTGTTGCTCAATATGAAAGAGGACACAATTGCGCTGGACAAAGCGATCGAATCGGGCGACACAGATCTTGTCTATCATGTACTCTTGCATCTACGCAAGAAATTACCACTCGCTTCCTTCTTCCGTGTCATCAACAGCCGACCCATGGCAACCGCCCTTGTTGAGTCTTCGGCGTGGGATCAAGACCGAGAATTACTCAAAGATCTCTACTACCAGGATGACAGGCGGCTAGACGGATCAAATCTCCTCCTCTTGGAAGCACTAACGCAACCCGACCTGCGTGCCTCTCTTGACAAACTCAAGCTTGCTTCAAAATACCTGCAAGACTCTCGCGACAACGCCGCAGTCTTCCAGCGACAAGCCCTCGATGACGCTTCAAAACTCCTGAAGATGCAAGAAGCTTTTGAGAAAGACCTTGGATCCAGAGACCCCGTACCTGCAGGCAGCACAACGCCCGGCCAATCCTTCATTGGCCTCAGCGCCAATCAGACAATCTTCCATCTCATACGTCAAGGACATTACAAGCGGGCCCAACGCGTACAAGCCGAGTTCAAAATCTCTGACAAAACCTACGCTTACGTCCGCCTCCGAGCTCTTGTAGCAGCTCGCCACTGGGTCGAGCTCGAAGAGAGCGCAAAGCAGAAGAAGAGCCCAATCGGGTGGGAACCGTTTTTCAATGAGATACTGGCAGCGGGTAACACTAGGGTGGCTAGTGTATTCATTTCTAAATGCACAAATTTGACAGTGGCGGAGAGGACAAACATGTGGGTCAAATGTGGATTGTTGGTCAAGGCTGGGGAGGAGGCATTCAAGGCCAAGGACAGGCCCCTGTTGGAGGAGATCAGAGACAAGGCCGGGGGCAGTGCAGCAGTAGAGATTGAGCGTTATCTGGGCATGTTGGGACAGGGGAGACGGTAGTCTGATACCAGTGCAAGTAAGCGTGGAAAGATACCTAACAAGGCTGCCATGATAGAAGCGGTGAAGAACACTGCAAGAGGAATAGTGATTGATGTACAATTATTAGTGCTTTGTACACCAAGGCTACGCGCTATAGCTCCATTCTGTAACAAGTGCAAGCACTTGTTCTAGTTCTCGTTAGACTAGCTAAAATATTATTAGCCCTAATACAGCTCTAATATAGCTCTAATTTAAGTCTAAGATATAAGACGTTATAGTGTAGGATAGAGGTTTAGTAGTAGATTAGGATAATAGGTATTAATTAAATATTAAATATATTAATACTATATATATTAGTTCTTATAGGTATTTATACTACCTATAATTATATAATCTATTTAGCTTAGGCTACTCTAGCCAATACTTAGGTTAGTAGGGTTAGTAGAGACCTATATCCTAATATTATCCCCTATAAAGGGCTTAGGCTTATACCTAAGCCTAGGTCTAACATAAGATAGACTAAGTCTAACACTACTACTAAGCGAACACACTACACACCTATAAAAAGGCGTAGAGGGCTTACCTCTCTTTTAAGATACTAAATACTATTATTAATACTTATTATATTCTCTCTTAAGGCTAGTCTATAATATTTTAGTATCTTCTTTTAAATATACTATAATAGTAATAAGAGATAGATACGCTAGATATTTAGAATAATTAGGTGTAACCTAATATAGTAGAAAGGCTAATATAGTAGGTTTATAGATTAATAGAATAATTAGCTTAAGACTCTACTATAATAGCTATACTATATTAATAGAATAAGGAAATACTTAATTAGATTCTATCCTAACCCTCCTCTAAGCCTGCTAGGTTTAATAATCTACTACCTCTACCTCCTTCTACCTTATAATATAAACCCTTCCTAGTTAGCTTACTATATAATAGTACTAAGGTAAACTTTTCCTTCTAGTAAATTACTATAGAGTTTAAACTATATATAGATAAGGTCTTTATTAGGGATAAGGAGGTAAGGTTTATATATATTTAGTCCTAGCTATTACTTATAGTCTAGCGCGCTATAGCACTATACTTTAAGGATAGTGCACGCAAGCGTTAGGATATAAGCAGGTTTCTTAACTACCTAGTATTCTATTATAGTAACTATTATAGGTAGGAGCGCGCCTAAGTTATATTAGAATACTTATATTAAGGCTAAAATTAACCTTTTATAGAGTTCTTTATAAATTTTATATAGCTTCTTATATAGTTAGGAGGTTTATACTAAAATAATAAATAAAAGCTTTTATAACTTTAGTAATCTCTTAATAGCTATATATACTTAGTTTCCCTTAATAGGGGAGTCTCTAGGATAAACTATAATATAGCTATAGAGGAATATAAGATAATTATAGTAGATATTAAAATAGCCTCTCTAGAACTAGGCTTTCTTTAGGCTAGTAAGTCTAAGGAACCCTAGTAGAAGTCTACCTTAGATTAGGATAGTAATATAAATATAGTAGAAGTAGCAGCCTTATTAAATATACCTACTAAACTACTAATATTATATCCTAACTAGATTCTATAGGACCTATTTATTATATAGAAACTAGTAAAGGTCTATACCTAGTATAGATAGGGTGGTTATTTTATATATATATATCCTAATACCCTATTACTATAACTAGTAGGTGTTAAGATAGTTATAGTATTAGCAAGCGGCACTAATTTAGGAAACTAGCTACCCCTAACCTTAGGCTAAGTTAGGGGTATAAGGAGGATACTATAATAGAGGAATTATTAATAGTAGAGGCTATTAAGTATCCCCTAGATATTAAGGTAGGGTTAAATAATCCTCCCTTCTTTATTCCTCTCCTTCTAGGTAGAGTAGAGAATATGCAAGTAATAGTTAATTTAGGGTGCTAGTATTTTAGTATAGTTAAGGAAAGGTTAGTAAGATAGATTAGTAGGAACTTTATTAATATTCCTCCGCAACCCTTATAATATACCTAGGGAATTGCTAAGAGTATAAGAATTTTATAGTTAGTAGTATTAGACTATAATTTAGATAGTTAGTAGTCTTAGCTTTTAGCTTGTATAGTACCTAGTCTTTCCTATTAACTAATACTAGGTAGACTATAGCTGTGTAGAGAGGGCGTTGTTATAGATATTCTATAAGGTGAATTAATAATTAGGAAGGTAGGAAATATAGTAGTATAAGAGAGTAGAAGACGCCTATATCCTACTATCGCAAACCAAGAATAGGGCAAAAGTAAACACTATTACCCCACCCTAATAAGTTAATATATATGGTGGGATATTAATAAGATATTATATTACGACACCTACCTATATCTCTATTATCTTAGGTTTAGTTATAGTAGGGTTACTAAATTAAGAATCCTAATAGGAAGATATATAGGTATAAATTTTTATAATAAATATACTAGATATTTTATAGGTAATATATAACTTATGTAATAATAAGACAGAATTGCCTACCTATTATTCTATGCTAAGTTAGGCCTAATAAAGGCCTGACTTACTAATGTATATAGAGAACAGCTCGCCTATAGTTAGGATAGGCATGTTCTTCTTGTCCTTTTATATAAGACCTATAGGTGTAGGAATCTTATCCTTTTCTATATAGACGCGCACTCCTATATACCTTTAAGTTATATAGGATACCTTTTAGATACCCTACCTACCTAAGTTATTATATTATAAGAAGAATATTATCCTAGCTAGTAATAGTATTTAAGAATATTATACTTATTATTATTTTAAGCTACTAATTTAGTTCTAGTAGCTATCTAACCCTGTAACTCTACAGTTAGAATAGCTATTAGAACTTTTAATAACCAAAGCCTATAGGCTTAGACTTCTAGACCTATAGGTGGTGCTAGATTACCTTTAGAAAAATTGCGTTAGATTGCGTTAAGGTAGAGACCTAGAGACTACTAAAAGCCTAGAGGAATTAGAGGCAAAGCTAATATCCTTCTATAACTAAACCCCCCCTAAAAAAAGATTTATTATTCTTATTAACTACAAAATATTAGATAAAGGTAAAGGAAGAGTATCTAGTTTAGCTACTTTTAAAAGCCTATTTACTAATAGAAAGAAATTAGATAAGGAAGACTTAATTAATAACGCCCTCCTAGAAGGACCTGCTTCCTATCTATCCCTTAAGGTACCTTATGCTCCTAGGAAATCTTAAAGCAATACCTCTCTTAAAGATAAATATATATTAACCCTATCTAAAAAGGAGAGGTTAGAGGAACAAGTTAAGTAACTTACTAATTAGTTATATAATACCTCCCTCTATAAGAAGATATAGGGTACTACCTAACTAGGCTAGTCTTTAGCTTCTATATTAAACCCTATAGTATATGCTATAAAAGCTAAGAGATAATCTAAAAAGACGCTAAATATCTCTATACTTAGTAATAGTGCTAATCCTACTTTTAGATAATAGCAAGCTCTATTTAAGATAGGCTAGAGATTAACACTAATTACTACCCCTCTTCTAGAGCTTAGATAGCGTTAGTCTAGGGACACTACTTAGGACTAGCAAGAGAATACTTAGAGCCACGTTACCTATCTAATTCCCTAAGTCTTTAATTCTAAAAAGCTAAGGAAATAATTACCCTCCTTTAAACTTACTTTATTACTAGAAATAAGATAGCTAAGAGCTAGACTATATTTAACTGCCTATATATAACTAATATAGAGATATTCCCTACTTTTAAGTTATAATTCTAGAGTCTTGCTATTAGAGGAGAAGTACCCTAATTAGAGTAGTATTATAACCTCTAGATAAAGATTACACCTTCCCTAAGGATACTAAACCTTACTTTTTAATAGAATTAGCATAATAATTTTAAGACTATAGTAGATTATCTTACTACTTTTAATATAGAACGCTGCCTATACCCTACCTTGTCTACTCCTACCTAGACTACGCTATTATCTAGAAAAGGACTAACCCCCTTCTAATACTCTAGAAACTAGTCCTATTTAGACGCTAATTAGAAACCCTATAATAGACCTTTAATAGCTAAACCTTATATGCCCTACTTGTAATAACAAGGCACTACCCCTTAAAATAATTAACCCCTATCTGCTACGCTAGCTACTCCTAGCGCTACTATAATAGGAACCCTAGTAACTTGCTATAATTATAGAAAGCCTAGGCACTTCTCTAGTAACTACCCTAAACCCCCTAGGATTTAGGCTATAGATATAGAACAGGTTATTAAGAATTCTAAGGAAGAAGAAACTGCTAAATTAACTAATTTAGATAGCTATTAGATAGGAAACAACAACGCCTAGGAGGATCCTCCTTCCTAGGCCTAACTTAATATAACCTATTAAACCTTTCCTTAACTAAATTATTTATTAGTTCCTATTTACTTACATGTATAACCCTATACCTTAATAGATCTAGTATTTACCTAAACGCTTTAGTAGATACTAGGGCCTAAGGTTATTTATTTCTTAATTTAAAAATTGCTTATAATATCTCTTCTACGCTTAGGGTACCTGTCTAAAAGCTACTATACAAGCTTACTATTAAAGGGTTCTAGGATTAGATTTCCTTACTAGTTGCCTACTATATTTAGCTTTATATAATAGTTAGTAGCTAAAAGGTTTATAACTGCCCCTTTATAATAGTAGACTTAGGTTCTTAGGATTATATTATTAGATAATACTAGCTAAAATAGTTCTAAATCCTAATTAATATAGATAAATCTTAACTAATCTAGCTAGAGAAATATCCCCTAACCTACAACCCCGCACCTCTAATTCTAGTACAACTCTACTAGCAAGTGTGGTCTACTCTAGTTACCTATAATATCTTATAAAGAGACACCCTTTAGAATTAAGAGGAGAACTAGAACTAAAATAGTCCTAGTTTAATTAATAGGATACGTAGTATACTTAAAATTCTAGCCACTTATAGGGCTGCTACTAAACCTATTACGCCACCTACCCTAGTCTAATTGCTAACTATTACC